TACCAAAGTGCTGGGATTACAGGCATGAGCCACCATACTCGGCCGTATTAACTACTCACCACAACAACCATACTGGGTGGGTGTTCTGCTGTCACTATTGTCTAGATTTTACTGAGGCACCGAGGCACAGACAAGCTGCCTAATTTGTCTGAGGCCATATGGATGGCAGAGCTGGGATCAATGCCAGGCCATGGGGCCTCCAGGGTCCCCTAGCTATTCCTGAATTAGATAGGGCAACATGCAGAAAGCCGTAGGGCAGCCCCCTCTGTGTCATGCACATTCATCAAGGCTCTGCCACTCGGGGGCCCCATGGCCGTGGGATTAGACAGTTTCTGAAGTCCCTTCCACTTGGATATTCTAAGGCCCTGCAATTTCTGCCCACACTCCCAAGCTGCTCTGCACGTAGGAGTGAGCTGTGTCTGCAGGCCCACAGCGGGGAGCTGCAGCTACAGGCCTGGAAATTGGGATGGATGAGCTGTGAGTATGGCAGGGAGGCTGTTGGGGTGGATGATGCCGAGGGCTCAGGAGGACCTTGGATGTCACCTGTCTTGGTTGTGCTGGCGTGCTTCGAGCTGGGGGTAGCTGGAAGGGGAAGGATGGCTTCTTCTTTTTTGTACATGTGGAACTGAAGCTCAGAGAGGTTTCTCAACACAACAGGACACAATGGGACCGACCAGGAACAGATTCACCAGGGATGATATTAAAAATATTAAACAGGCCGGGCGCGGTGGCTCACACCTGTAATCCCAGCACTTTGGGAGGCTGAGGTGGGAGGATCACGAGGTCAGGAGATCAAGACCATCCTGGCTAACGCAGTGAAACCCCGTCTGTACTAAAAATACAAAAAATTAGCCGGGCGTGTGGTGCGTGCCTGTAGTCCCAGCTACTCGGGAGGCTGAGGCAGGAGAATGGCATGAACCCGGGAGGCGGAGCTTGCAGTGAGCTGAGATGGCGCCACTGCACTCAGCCTGGATGACTGAGCGAGACTCCGTCACAAACAAACAAAAAATTAAACAGTGGTGTGGCACAGACACAAGCTGATCACCACAGATGCAGTTTTGGACATGGAGGCTGTCTGCATGCGGGGGATGTTGGCTGCGTCAGGCCTGGTCCCAAGCCTCGTCCTGGCTGCTCTGGCCTGTCCCTTTTCCTCCATACCACGCTGATTTGCAGGGCTGGAGCAGATTTTTCTGTGTCTATGAGAGTAAGGGGATTGTACTCTATCACGCCACACCCATCTTTAGCTGCTCTTTCCCGAAAGCTTCTGGTGGCGGTGGTATAAGTGGTAGGGGTCCACTCACCCTCACATCACAATAACCCCATTCTCCCTGCTAGTGAGGGGTGAGAGCAAATATTCTGGAGTGACGGTCTGAGTTCAAATCCCAGCATTCATCAGCCTGTGGCCCTGTGCTAATTGCCTCACCCCGCTAAACCCTGCTTTTCTTATGGGTAAAATTGGATTAAACTACCTACCTCAGGGAATACTGTGAAGACCAGGTACAATTATGTGGGTGACCAAGCTTTATATGCTGAAAAAGTCTGTGCGTAAAATGAAGGGGATTAACCCATTTATGCCGGAGGCTGCAGTTTTTTTGAATTGCAGACATGAAAAATCAGACCTTGGTGATAACCTTGAGCAGTGGGATATAAATAACTCCCACATGCTTAGCGTTCCAATAATGGAACACTAGGCATAAAATTAAGCTGGGCTGTGTCCTGAGAGGCTCACACAGGGAGTAGGAACCTAACACTAAGGGCAGATGGAACTGCATTGGGTATCCCTGTGCCAGAGCAGCTAGTGGTCTCCCTGATTGTCCCTTTTTTTTTCCGGACAGGTTCTCACTCTGTCATTCAGGCTGGATGAAATGGGGAGGGGCAAGGCAGGAACATCAGCTAGGGCCCTGGGGGCCAGCAGTGGTGTGATCTCAGCTCACTGCAGCCTCGACCTTCCAGGCTCCAAGTGATCCTCTCACCTCAGCCTCTGTAGTAGCTGGGACTATGGGCACGTGCTACCACACCCAGCTATTTCATTTTTTATTTTTTGTAGTGACAGGGTTTGACTATGTTGCCCAGGCTGGTTTTGAGGTCCTGGGCTCCAGTGATCCTCTCACCTTAGCTTTCCAAAGTCCTGGGATTACAGGTGTGAGCCACCATGCCTGGCCCCAAATTCGCCTTTCCTTCTACCATAGTCATTGATTTAGTTGAAGACATGACTCCCCAGAATAAAATCTCTATTTCCCAGGCTGCTTTACACCCAGGGTGGCCACAGGGACAAGTTCTGGCCAATAGGATGTGAGCAGAAGGGGTGGGGACAACTTCTGGGCATGTCCTTAAAGAGCAGGGGCCTTCCTCCTCCATTCCCTGGACCCACAGCTCTGTCCCTGCACCTTCCCACCCCACCTTCCTCCTTCTGGCCATCCAGAGGGCAGATGTGGTGATGGGCTGTCTGAGCCCATGAGATGCGGTCAGCCTCCCAGGGTGGAATGGAACAGCTGGGGCTGGCTCTCTGCCTTGTGAGCTGCTGAGCAGCCCTGGACTACTTATTTCAGAGAATTCCATGAGGGAGAAATGCGTCCTAGCTCATGTCCTCCTGGGTGTTTGGGGCCTGTTGCAGCAGTCAAGTTTATAGCCTGACCATGTGATAGTGAACCCCACTGTGACCTATGCTACTTCTCAACCAGCGAGTTACTAATGTGCTGCTTTTGTTCAAGGATGAGAGTTGAAGCTGGGAAGTGTGGAGGGGAGGTGGGTGCAAGAATACCCTCGAGAAGGCCCAGGAAGGCATCACCCGTCGGATTAGCCCCACAGACTTCGTGGGGAGGCAGGACTTTAGGAATTTTCACGGTGTAGCTATTCCTTCTTCCCCTACTGGTTCCCCCGCATCTCTTTTTTGTCCTTGCTCCCCTCCTCTCTCCCTGATCATTGTCCCGGCTCAGCACACACTCCACATCCTTGAGAATATGGTGAGGAAGAACGAGACCCATTTTTGCCTTGCAGGCCAGTTATGATACAGACTCAGGCCTCTCAGGTCCCAAACCTGGGGCCATCCTACACCCTTCTCTCTCTCCCACCCCACGAAGACTTCGTCAGCACATCCTGCCAGAGCTATTTCAAAATATGACCGGATCACCCCTTTCCACCCCTCGTCTCCTGCTCTAAGCCCCCATCATCTCCTGCCTGAACTTTTCTTTAGCCCGCTTATGGCTCTCCATGCTTCCACCCTCATCCCCACCCCGCCAACGCAGTCTGTTCTCAACAGAGCACCCAGAACGATTTCCTTAAAACGTAAATCAGACCGTGTCACTTCTCTGCATGACTTTCCAGCACGACTCTCAGAAGACACTCCAATTCCTTTCATGGCCCCCACGACCCTAGCTGATGCTCCCACCTTGCTCCTCCCCATTTCATTTGGGCGTGCCTAGAGCACAGCAGGCATGCTCCTGCCTCAGGGCACTGGCATGCAGCCCTCTTTGCCTAGACTCTCCATGGCTTCCGTCATATCAGGTCTCTTCTCAAGTGGCACCTGTTGCAGAGGCCCTCCGGGGCTACTCTGCATAAATACCACCCACTCTTGTCACTTGCTGTCCCCCTTACATTACTTTATTCTCTTCCTAGCCCTTATCACCATCTGATTTATATTTGCTTTCTTGTTTTTTGGCTTTCTCCCTCCACTGAGTGTAAGCCCTTTGTGTGTCTCGTCTGGCAATCTGTACCTTCATTTTGGACAGCAGTGCCGGCAAGCATGCAGCCGGGGCTCAGTAGACGCTTGCAGGATGCTGAGTGGCGTGTGCTGGATGTGCTGTTGTGCAGAGCCCAGAAGCCGAGATGCCCCTGCCTGGCGTTCAGAGGAGGGATGGCTGGACCTGATACTCAGAGGGTGACTGGGTGGGAGTCCTTGGCCTCGGTCTGCTCGGATGGCCACCGGGCCAGTCAGGCCGTTGCTCTGACCTCAGTTCTGGAGAGTTCGGATTGGTGGCAAGGGAACGGGCAGGAGCTGAGGAATGGATGGTTGCATTAATCATGGAACTTTGCCCAGAGGGGTCAGAGGAGTAAGGCAGGGGTTAGAGAGAGAGAGAGCGAGCATGAGACAGGAGGTTCAGGTGGCAGGGGAGGGGCTGGGGGTGAGGAAAGGGATGGGGGTGTGGGTTCTGGCTCAGCCTTTTCCAGACTTTGTGGCCGCTGCTGCAGTCCCAGAGTCTACTGGGGCCCCGCTGTCTGCTTCCTGGCCTGGCTGCTTATTTGGCCAGTAGTTTGGGCAGCCGTGGGCTTCTCTTGCTGACCTCCAGAGGAGGAGTTAAGTACCTGCTGGCTCTCACGTACAGGAACTAAAAGCGTACAGGAAATGTTGAGGTGCCAGTCAGCAAGAGGGCCAGTCCTCGGCTTCCCCTGCCAGGGGCCCCTAGGAACAGATACCCACCCCCACTCTTTCTCATCTCCAGCTCTTGTGGGAGTGAAGTGCGCTTCCCGTGCTTTCCAGCGGAAACTTTACTTGGTTCTCTTCACAGCCAGGGTTCATTCATTCTCTTCATTGGCAAATACTTGTTAAGTACTCCATGCCACCAACGAGCTAGGGATATGGACAACCTTGGTGTAGAAAAATTCACCTTTAATGTTCGTAGCCTCCCCGGTCTGCACCCATTCCTCCTCTCACTCAGAGAAGCTTTCCCCACATCGGGAGAGAGGCTGGTTAATGGATACAAAGTTACAGCTAGATAAGCTGAGCGGAATAAGCTTTAGCGTCCTGGGCCGCTGTAGGGTGAAAGTAGTTAACACTAATTTTAAGTATATTTTCAAAAAGCTGCAAGATAGGATTTTAAGTGTTCCCAGCACAAAGGAGTGATGGGTGTTCAAGATGTTAGATACGCTAATTACCCTGATTTGATCATTATACATCATATGCATGTATCAAAATATCACTTTGAATCCTGTAAAAATGAACAATTATTGTCAACAAAAAATAAAAGGGAAAAAACACCAAATATCTTTCCCCACAGCAATTTTGTGTCCCAGGATGGTGCTGCGTGCCTGGGAGCAGTGATGTGCTGATAAATGTTTCACAAGTGGCTCTTTGGAAGAAAAGTCATGATCTGCAGTGTTTGCCAGTTTCCATGGTGTAACTACTCAGAGAATGTCAGATTTCATGCTACCCACGTGATGTTACTCAACGGAAAACTGGGACGACTTCACAGTAACACAGCATCATGTGTCATTTCCACCACACGGATACAGACATTGGTATGTATAACCTCAAGGGTATAGATACTAGTAAAATGTTAAATAGGAAGTATGAGTTTTGAGTCATTATCTCTGTCTTAAATGTAACTTATTTTATTATGATTATATATACTTTAGTATTTAATAATGAATGCATTTAACAACAGACCCACAAAATTCCTGAAAATGTAAAAATTAGCTCTGCAAACCAGGATGAGATGGCTCTAGCACGTCACTGCCTGTGAGCTTGCTGGAAATGCAGATTCTTAGGCCCCACCAGCTCTACTGAATCAGGATCTGAATTTTAACATTTTTTAACAATACCCTCAGGTAATCCATACACATTATACATTTAAAAAGCGTGCCCTAGGGGAAATAACTGTTTATTATTTCATTGATATCTTTTTTTTTTGAGAAGGAGTCTTGCTTTGTCGCCCAGGCTGGAGTGCTGTGGCCGGATCTCAGCTCACTGCAAGCTCCGCCTCCCGGGTTTACGTCATTCTCCTGCCTCAGCCTCCTGAGTAGCTGGGACTACAGGCGCCCACCACCTCACCCGGCTAGTTTTTTGTATTTTTTTTTTTTTAAATAGAGACGGGGTTTCACTGTGTTAGCCAGGATGGTCTCGATCTCCTGACCTCGTGATCCGCCCATCTCGGCCTCCCAAAGTGCTGGGATTACAGGCTTGAGCCACTGCGCCCGGCCTGATATCTTTTTTAGAACTTTTCCGCAACAGAGATGTGTGTATTTTAACAAATTTTGTTTTTAACAAAAATAAGGTCACGCTGTAAATGTTTTGCAAGGTTTTGTTTGGTTTTTTTTTTTTTTTTTTTTGAGGCGGAGTCTTCACTCTGTCGCCCAGGCTGGAGTGCAGTGGCACCATCTCGGCTCACTGCAAGCTCCGCCTCCCAGGTTCGCGCCATTCTCCTGCCTCAGCCTCCCGAGTAGCTGGGACTACAGGCGCCCACCACCGCGCCCGGCTAATGTTTTGTATTTTAGTAGAGACGGGGTTTCACCGTGTTAGCCAGGATGGTCTCGATCTCCTGACCTCGTGATCCGCCCGCCTCGGCCTCCCAAAGTGCAGGGATTACAGGCGTGAGCCACCGCACCCGGCCTTGTTTGGTTTTTAACTTAGTAACATGTCTGATATCCTTCCATGTCAGTCTACAGAGATCTCATTATTTTTAATGTCTCTGTAGTATTTTAGGACATGAGTAAATCATGATTTTAAAAAAACCATCTCTTGCTGGGCGCAGTGGCTCATGCTTGTAATCCAGCATTTTGGGAGGTTGAGGTGGGCAGATCACTGGAGGCAAGGAGTTCTAGACCAGGCTGCGTGGCATATCAAAACCCCATCTCTACAAAAAATACCAAAAAATAGCTGGGTGTGGTGGCTCGTACCTGTAGTCTCAGCTGCTTGGGAGGCACAGGTGGGAGGATCGCTTGAGTCTGAGGAGGTCTAGTCTGCTGTGAGCCGTGATACTGCCACTGCACTCCAGCCTGGGTGACAGAGTGAGACCCTGTCCCCTCCCCCTTCAAAAAACCCTCTCTGAATGAACACATATTGTTTTCCCCTTTTGCTTCAAGGAACTTTATACTTAAAAAGAAAGTTTCCTTCACTTTCTTTCAATTTCCTTAACAAAATATACCTAAAAAAACTTCTGAAAGCTAATTTATACCAGTGGGTTAGTGGCTGGTAATAATAGTTTTACAGTGTTTTCCTTCTTCCCCAGATTTAAACAGTTTATATTTTATCAATATTTATTGAGATATTTTATGCATTATGTTCTGAATAAGCTGCTAGGGAATTTAAAGAAGTTAGACAGGCCGGGCGTTGTGGCTCACGTTTGTAATCCCAGCACTTTGGGAGGCTGAGGCGAGTGGATCACCTGAGGTCAGGAGTTCAAGACCAGCCTGGCCAACATGGCAAAACCCCAGTCTCTACTAAAAATACAAAAAAATTAGCCAGGTGTGGTGGTGGGCGCCTGTAATCCCAGCTACTCGGGATGCTGAGGCAGGAGAATCGCTTGAACCTGGGAGGCAGAGGTTGCAGTGAGCAGATATTGGGCCACCGCACTCCAGCTGGACGACAGAGTGAGACTCCATCTCAAAAAAAAAAAAAAAAAAAAAAAAAAAAGAAGTTAGACGTGGGCCTGACTTTCACATACAGCCATCCAAAGGGAATGTAATAATCATAAAATGAGGCAGGACATATAGATACAGAACTGTTACCAGCAGCTTTAGTGCCATGAGAACATCAGAGAAGGGATGGGAGAAAAACCTTAACTAAGATACTGGGCGCTACCTGTGACATTAGAGACATTGCTGGATAAATGGGGAGGTGTCTGTCCTGTCCTCAAACCACAACAGGCAGCCTTAGGCTAAGGGCTGGTGGAGGGATTACAGGCGCGCGCCCACCATGCCCAGCTAATTTTTGTATTTTTAGGAGAGATGGGGTTTCACCAGGTTAGCCAGGATGGTCTCCATATCCTGACCTCATGATCCACCCGCCTCGGCCTCCCAAAGTGTTGGAATTCCAGGCGTGAGCCACCGCACCCGGCCCCCACCCTTTTTTCCTCCAGTCCTAACCTCTGGTTCCTTTATCTCCAGGAACCCTGATCCCCAAAGATGATAGCAGTTTTACTTGGTTCCTGTCTGAGCCAGGTCTGGATCTGGGAGGTGCTGGCGGGTCCCTGTGCTTCCGCTATGGTGGAAATCTGATTGTGATCAGCATTGGGCCACATGCCAGAGGCCGCGGCAGTTCTGCGCCTGGCCTGGCCGGCCTCGGTGCTACCCGCCACCCCTCACGTCTTCCCTTCTGGTTCCTTGCACGTCGCTGGTCAGTCCGCGAACCCTGACTCTCCAGCAGTGAGCTGGGTAGCCCTGGGAAGCCTCTGCCCTTCTCTACTTCCCAGGGTACAGAGTGAGATTCCACCTGTGGCTTGATTCTCCTTCACATCTTGCCCACCCAGGCTTCTGGCCGAACCTAGCAGCTCAAGTCAAATTCAGCTGGAAATTGGCTGCTGAAGGAGCTGTCTTTCATCCTCTGTAACTGAGGACTTACTGTTCCTAACTGTTGCTAAGTGGGGGCTGTTGTCTTTGAGGGAGTTTTTTTCTTCTTTAACAATTTTATATATAAAATAACAAATGCAAAGTATGTATTATGAGACATGCTAACAAAATGAGCATCTGTGAACACACTATCCCATCTAAGAATTAGAACATTATCAACAGGGTTGTAGATGCCTATCTGTTCTTTCCTGTTCTGTATGCCTGTCTCCCCTGAAGAGATAGCTGTTATCCTGAGTTTTTGTGTTTGTTATTTCCTTGCTTTAAAAAAGTAGCTTCATCGGCTGGGCGTGATCCCAGCACTTTGGGAGGTCGAGGCAGGTGGATCGCCCGAGGTCAGGAGTTCGAGACCAGCCTGACCAACATGGCGAAACCCCATCTCTACTAAAAATACAAAATTAGCTGGGTGTGGTGGCACGTGCCTGTAATCCCAGTTACTCAGGAGGCTGAGACGGGAGAATCACCTGAACCCGGGAGGCGGAGGTTGCAGTGAGCCGAGATCACGCCATTGTACTGTAGCCTGGGTGACAAGAGTGAAACTCTGTCTCAAAAAAAAAAAAAAAGCGGCCGGTGGCTCAAGCCTGTATCCCAGCCTTTGGGGCGAGGGGCGGATCACGAGGTCAGGTATCGAACATCCTGGCTACACGTAAACCCCTCTCTACTAAAATACAAAAAATAGCGGGGGGGGGGCGTGTAGTATGGAGGCTGGGCGGAGAGGCGGGGGGGGGAGTTGCAGGAGCGAATCCGGCCACTGCACTCCAGCCTGGGCCACAGAGCAAGACTCCGTCAAAAAAAAAAAAAAAAAAAGCTTCATCACATATGTTTATATCTACAAACTTTACTTGCTTACTTTTGCTTGTTTTTGAGCTTTGTAAAAATGGTGTCATATTGCATATAGTTTTTTTTTGGTTGTGATAAACGGTAATGCTGTGAGTATTCTTGCATAAATCTCTGTATGCAAGAGTTCCATGCACCAGCGTCTCTTCTAGAGAAGTGCAGTCGATGAGTTCTAGGGCATGTAAATGCTCAAGTTCACAGATTGTTTTACCAATTTCCAATCCCACCAGCAGTATATGTAACAGTTCCCCCACAATGCATAACTGATTATTCCAGCATCGTTTATTGAACAGCCCAACTTTTCCCAATTGATCTACAGTGTCACCTCTGTTATCTAAAACATTTCTGTATATCTGTGGGTCTGCTTTTGGCTTTTAACCTAATTCATTGATCAAGTTGTCTATACTTGCACTAATATTCAGTCTAAAATGCTATGGATTTATAAGAAGTCCTGATGTAGTTAGGTAAGTCCTGCCTGGCTAATTTTTTTGTATTTTTAGTAGAGACAGGGTTTCACCGTGTTAGCCAGGATGGTCTTGATTTCCTGCCCTCATGATCCACGCACCTCGACCTCCCAAAGTGCTGGGATTACAGGTGTGAGCTGCCGTGCCCGGCCCTAGTTCTGATCTTTATGATTTTCATTTATTTTTCTTCTCTTGTTTCATTGCCCAGAATTTCTAATGTAACTTGAATGGAAGTGGCAAGAGTCAGCATCTTTTTCTTGTTTTTTATTTTTAAGGGAACTGATCTTCTATTTCTTACATTTCCTTGTTAGAATGATGAGTCACACATGTTTTGTTACTTAGGTTAAATTATTATTTTTTTAATTCCTAGTTTACTATGTTTTTATGATGAATAAGTAAATCTGGCAAATGCTTTTTCTGTAGCTATGGAGATGCCTATATTTTTACCCCTTAATTTGTGAATGTAGTATATGATAATGATACAATTTTAAATGTGAAAACCACCCTAAATTTCTGGAATAAATAAAACTTGCTCATAACGCACTGTCTTTTTTAATAAAACGGTTGGATTCACTTGCTAGTATTTTGTTTAGGAGTTTTGCACCTATGTTCTTCAGTAAGTTTTGCCAGGGATTTTCTTTTTCTTATACTGCTCATGTCTGGTTTCGGAGTCAAAATTGTATTGGATACATCATCTGAATTAGAGCTACTTTTCTTTGTGGCAGAGTCCATTGATGGTTTTCTAGTGGTTATTCTGGCCTTCTAACTTTTAACAACAAAACCCCAATTTTTAGCTGGATACAAAACTGAAGATTATATTTCCCAGCCTCCCTCATAGGTAGATATGGCCATGTGATTAAGTTTTGACCAGTATCCCTTCATCAGCACCATCATCAGTCAATTCTTTGTAGTTTTGAGTCCTGAGATTCATGATTCCAGCTTTGAGAAATAGGTCTTTGAGGACATTTGTTTCTAATAGTGATTAATTTCATTAAATCTAAAAACAGAGGCAGGGTGGGGTGACGCACTCCTGTAATCCCAGCACTTTGGAAGGCCGAGGAGGGCGGATCACGAGGTCGGGAATTGGAGACCAGCCTGGCCAACATTGTGAAACCCCATTTTTATTAAAGAAAAAAAAAATTGGCTGAACCTGGTGGCGGGTGCCTGTAATCCCAGCTACTCGGGAGGCTGAGGCAGGAGAATTGCTTGAACCCTGGGAGGTGAAGTTTGCAGTGAGCTGAGATTGCACCATTGCACTCCAGCCTGGGGCATGGTGCGAGACTCCGTCTCAAACAAACAAACAAACTAAACTAAAAGCATGATCTAGTATCTAGATTTCTTGATTTTTTAATACATCAGGGTAAAATAGGAGAAATACCTTCATTGTTTCTTGACCTATATTTGAAGCTTCTGTAGATATCTTCATGTGGTAGGAAGTCTAGCAGTTCTCAAGACCCTACACCAGCCATTATATGCATGAAAGAAGATCAACTGTGAAAGATTTTTGGCTTTTAAAAATGTATTTAGGCTGGGTGTGGTGGCTCACGCCTGTAATCCCAGCACTTTGGGAGGCCAAGGCAGGTGGATCATGAGGTCAGGAGATCAAGACCATCCTGGCCAACATGGTGAAACCCCGTCTCTACTAAAAATACAAAAAATTAGCTGGGTGTGGTGGCGGGCGCCTGTAGTCCCAGCTACTCGGGAGGCTGAGGCAGGAGAATGGTGTGAACCCGGGAGGCGGAGCTTGCAGTGAGCCGAGATCACGCCACTGCACTCCAGCCTAGGCAGCAGAGCGAGACTCTGTCTAAAAAAAAAAAATGTATTTAAAGGCTTCTTCAATTATCAGAAAGCTTGCACCTATGTGTATGAACCAATATGACCTTCATATTAAACTGATAATATTCTGCATTTTGTATGCATTATTGCAGAATAGACTGAATTTTACATTTTTCATGATGATTTCTTTGATCCATGAATTGGAAATGTATTTAAAAGTTTCTAGCCATATGGGAATAAAATGTTAATTATGTTTTGTTATTTGCTTTTAATTAAATGTATTATGCAGGGAAACACATTGATACTGATTCTTTGAAATCTGTTGAAAATTGCTTTGTGGGTTAGTACTTAGTTTTTTTCTTTTCTTTTTTTTTTTTTAGATGGAGTCTCTCTCTGTCACCCAGGCTGGAGTCCAGTGATGCAATCTCCGCTCACTGCAAACTCCACCTCCCAGGTTCACGTCATTCTCCTGCCTCAGCCTCCTGAGTAGCTGGGACTACAGGCTCCCGCCACCACATCCGGCTAATTTTTTTTGTATTTTTAGTAGAGACGGGGTTTCACTGTGTTAGCCAGGATGATCTCGATCTCCTGACCTCGTGATCCGCCCGCCTCAGCCTCCCAAAGTGCTGGGATTAAAGGCGGGAACCGCCGTGCCCGGCCTGGTCATTTTTTATATATGTTCCAAATGTGTCATCCCTAATTGTTGGGTAGAGAATTCTATGTATGCCTAATAAATCAAGCTGATTAATTGTATTGTTCAAATTTTCTGTCTTTTCTAATTTTTTGTCTCTTCGATCTAACAGTAATGGAGAGAGGTATGTTGACATGGCAAATTTGTCAACTTCTCCCTGAGTTATTTTAATTTTTATAATTTATATATTTAAACCTATTTTATTAATAAGCTTATTTTTTAGTTTTATAATCATCATATCTTCTTTTTTTTTTTACACGGAGTCTGGCTCTGTCGCTCAGGCTGGAGTGCAGTGGCGCGATCTCGGCTCACTGCAAACTCTGCCTCCCAGGTTCATGCCATTCTCCTGCCTCAGCCTCCTGAGTAGCTGGGACTACAGGCACCCGCCACCACACCCGGCTAACTTTTGGTATTTTTAGTAGAGACGGGGTTTCACTGTGTTAGTCAGGATGATCTGGATCTCCTGACCTCGTGATCCGCCTGCCTTGGCCTCCCAAAGTGCTGGGAGTACAGGTGTGAGCCACTGCACCTGGCCCCATATCTTCTTATTTTATTAGGTTTATAATAATGTTAGTAGATTGTAGTTTTTGTCATTATTTCATGTCATCCTCTAGCCATAATAATGCTTTATTTCCCCAAAGTCTATTTTGTCTCATATTAGTAACAACTACTCCAGCTTTGCTTCAAACACTTTCATGTCCTTATATTTTAGGTATGTCTTTTATAAACGTCATGGAATTATGTAGTATCCACCTTTGAAGATAGCCCTCCAGTGAATCTTATTTCACCAGTCCCACCCTTTTGTAGTCTGACGTTGAGTAGGGCTGACTTGTATAACCAATAGGATATTGTGGAAATAACAGACTCCTGAGACCAGATCATAAAAAACCTTGTATCTTTCATTTTTCTCTCTCTTGGACTCTTGCTCTGGCAGAATCTGGTCACCATGTCATGGGGATATTCAAGCAGCCCCATGGAGAAGTCAATGCAGCCGGGAACTGAGGCCTCCTGCCAGCTACAGCACCAGCTGGGCAGCACCGTGCATGAGCCGTCTTGGAAGTGGATCTTCCAGCCCCAGTCATGCTGGTGCCTTTGGCTGACTGGGCCTCAGCCAACCTCTGAGGGATCCTGAAGCAGAACCACTGAGGAAGCCTACCAAGTGCAGAGGAACATTCTTCAGCTTCTACAAAGAATCCGGCCTCTCATTTTTCTTGAAACTCACAGCTATCTTGGTGTGTCTTATTTTTTTTCCCTCTTGATAGAGAAGTGCTACAAAGAAATGTTTCTGTACTTTAATGAAAAGACGAAGTAAGTAAAACGATAAATGACAGCTGGTTTGGACCTCATGTTGGAGATGTGATAGGGTGTAGAAGAGACTGGAAACTGGAGAGAACATGCCCATCCCAAGAGAGAAGACCCGCATTTCTAGCAACTTCCAGTCTTCCAAGTGAAGCTGGAAATCGGCATTTACAAACACAGATAAGAATTACACACACACACACACACACACACACACACACACCCTGGCTACTTTGGGTAAAAGAATGCCAGAGAGGGAGGGTTAGTCACTTTCTCAAGATGGAGGGAGAAGTAGGTAGAGCCTCAGACCTCCAGGACTCTGAGACTTTTTTTTTCTTTTCTCTTTCTTTTTTTTTTTTTTTTTTGAGACGGAGTCTTGCTCTGTCGCCCAGGCTGGAGTGCAGTGGCGCAATCTCCACTCACTGCAACCTCCGCCTCCTGGGTTCAAGCAGTTCTTCTGCCTCAGCCTCCTGAGTAGTTGGGATTACAGATGCCAGTCACCACACCCAGCTAATTTTTGTATTTTTAGTAGAGACGAGGTTTTACCACGTTGGCCGGGCTGGTCTCAGACTTCTGACCTCAGGTGATCTGCCTGCCTCAGCCTCCCAAAATGCTGAGATTATAGGCATGAGCCACTGTGCCCAGCCCAAGACTTCTGTCATTTCTGAGATTCTGCGATAAAATATATATGCTATTAGTTCAAATCAAGGGTGTGATTATATCTCACTGTTTGCTTGCTACAGGGCAGTATCTTAAACATCTGTGGCTTTCTTTGAGCAAGAGAAAATGACTTGCTCTTGCGTGGTGAATGACTTGAAGGTGGCAGCTTGCTCAAGGCCCACAGTGGAGGATGCATTACGTTTTCTGTGCAAATTATAGCAGGTAATTCAGTTTCACAGAGAGAAGCCAAAAACTTAGGACAACAGAAAAATTTGTCCTGTAGTATTTGAGGAAGATGAATAAGGTAAGTATATTTTCCCTAAATCGACTCACCATATGTAGTATGAGAGAGTCCATTTTTTTTTTTTTTTTTTTTTTTGAGACGGAGTCTTGCTCTGTCGCCCAGGCTGGAGTGCAGTGGCTGGATCTCGGCTCACTGCAAGCTCCGCCTCCCGGGTTCACGCCATTCTCCTGCCTCAGCCTCCCGAGTAGCTGGGACTACAGGCGCCCGCCACCTCGCCCGGCTAGTTTTTTGTACTTTTTAGTAGAGACGGGGTTTCACTGTGTTAGCCAGGATGGTCTCGATCTCCTGACCTCGTGATCCGCCCGTCTCGGCCTCCCAAAGTGCTGGGATTACAGGCTTGAGCCACCGCGCCCGGCCGAGAGTCCATTTTAAATAGTTAATGATATTTATGTTTCAGGAAGGCACAGAGATAAGGAGAAAGTTCTCATGGCTTGTGAATGTGTGAGTAAAAGCCTTCTGTGAGAGGATGTGTCCTGGTTCACAGAGACATTTCTGTGTCTCAAAGTAGAAGTCCGGAACTGCGGACTAATGAAATTAAAGTCAGGGATGGCTTGGTCCAGCTCACATCATCCCAAGGCCTTTCCCCACCAATGAAGTCTGAACTAAAAGGATTCTGCTTGTATCTCAGAGTAAATCAGGAAGAGACTCTGGGGTCCTTCAGTTTTGCCAAGACGCAAATTGGGAGAATCCTAGAAGAGGTATCCTCCCTAAAGTCCTTTCCAGCTGTGAGACCTGATGCCTCCACTTTGGGATTTGGGAGCTGAGCCATAGGGAAGACTGGACTGGATCAGGAAAAGGCAGTGGGAGCAGAGAGCCCTGGGCCAGGAGTTGGAGGGCAAGGAGTGAGCAGAGGCTATTCCACTCCCTCGCTGTGTGTCCCCTGGCAAGTCACTTTGTTGCAGGACCCCACCACTCACCCAAAGCTGTTGGCTCAGGGTTTCTGCACTATAGTCCCTTCTGTGTTCGCCAGAAATATGTTACAGGGCAGGAGTCCCGATCCAGACCCCAAGAGAGGGTTCTTGGATCTTGAGCAAGGAAGAATTCAGGGTGAGTCTGCAGTGCAAGAAAAGCAAGTTTATTAAGAAAGTAAAGTGGTGAAAGAACAGCTACTCCATAGACACAGTAGGACGTTCCCGAAAGTAAGAGGAGGAGTGCATCCGCCCTAGGTACAATGCCTGTATGTATGGGGAGATGTGCTCTGCTACAAAGTTTGTGATAAAGGACTACTTTTCTTATTTACTATATTTTGCAAGAATTGATATTATTATCTTTAAAGCAAAATGAGGAATACCTTTGTTCAGCTGGGCACCGTGGCTCACACCTGTAATCCCAGCACTTTGGGATGCCGAGGCGGGTAGATCACGAGGTCAGGAGTTGAAGACCAGCCTGGTCAATATGGTGAAACACCGTCTCCACTAAAAATACAAAAATTAGCCAGGTGTGGTGGTGGACGCCTGTAATCCCAGCTACTTGGGAGGCTGAGGCAGGTGATTGCTTGAACCCAGGAGGCGGAGGTTGCAGTGAGCCGAGATTGTGCCACTGCACTCCAACCTGGGCGACAGAGTAAGACTCCATCTCAAAAAATAAATAAATAAAATAAAATAAAAAAAGGAATACCTTTGTTCTCCAGATACCAGGCTATCTGGACACTCCCAAGTCTGGCTCTGTTTAGTAAACACGACTAATTTGTTCCCTTACATGTAAACATGTAGAGGCTAATGATGCCTAACTTTCTGAGAATGCAGCCCAGCAAGTCTCAGCCTCATTTTCCTGGCCCTCACTCAAAGTGGAGTCACTCTGGTTCCAACGCCTCTGACAACTTTACTGAGCATTCGCTTCTTCACGTGCAAATTGGGAGCAACACTGCCTGCTCTTGCTAACTCATGTTGGTGGCGTAAGGCTCTAATGAGGTCTGGGAAACTGCCCTGAAAACCGAAAAGCACCGCAGAAAGGAGTAATGTTTCATCTGACCCCTTCCTACCTCTCCAGCCCTGTCGTCCACCATGCTTCCCCTGTTCTGTGTTGCAGCCACACAGACTTTCAGTGTCTTGGTAGGTAGTTTCCTCCTGCAGCTGGGCCTTTGCATGTGCTATTCCCAAGGCCTGAAGTGTGCCCACCATCCTTTGCCTGGCTTTACTCCTACTCATCACATAGAACTCAGTTCAGTTGTACCTGTTCAGGGAGGACTTCTCTGCCCACGCCCCCCCGCCCCCTCAGTTTGGGTGGGAATACTCTGTTACCTGTGTGCCTCCCTGGCACCATGTGTCTTACTCTCATCACTGTTTGTAGTTACAATTTGTTTGGATTAATGTCGGTCCTGTCAACAGATCATAAGCTCCATGAGGGCAGAGAATGGCGTCTTTTTTCACTCACCTTCGTATCCCAAGAGCCTAGCCCAGATACCAAATAAATACTAGCGATCGTAGAGTAGGTCCAGGAATCTAGGGAGCAGGGATTCTGATTTTAGGTTTCTGGATTAGGGTGCTGGGAATGAGACACCCAGTAAGAGAAGTCTCTCTGAATTAGTCTGGTGTTCGCACCTTTTTTTCCCCTCCCTTTAGGTAAAGCTGTGCTACACTATGTAATGTCATGCTGATGTCCGTATGTCCGTATGTGTGTATATATTTGAGACGGAGTCTCCTTCTGTTGCCCAGGCTGGAATGCAGTGGTGTGACCTCACCTCACTGCAACCTATGCCTCCTGGGTTCAAGTGATTCTCCTGCCTCAGCCTCCTGAGTAGCTGGGATTACAGGCATCACCACCACGCCTGGCTAATTTTGTATTTTTAGTAGAGATGGAGTTTCTCTATGTTGGTCAGGGTGGTCTCGAACTCCCGACCTCAGGTGATCCGCCTGCCTCAGCCTCCCAAAGTGTTGGGATTACAGGCCTGAGCCACTGCACCTGGCCGGAAGAATACTTTAATTGGGTGCTGCAGCTGAGGAGTGGAGTTGGGAGCTTAGTCTCAAACCCATATCCCTGACCTACAAAAAGTAGGGGTTTATGTACCAGGGAAGAAATGTAACAATGTGAATGAAAACAGGAACTAGGCAGGGGCAAGGAAACAATCATGATGAAGGAAGGGTCCAGGCATTTCCTTGTCTGGATGTGGTGATCTGGTGAGTTTCAGTTCTTTGATACCTTTTTTTGAGAGGCGGAAGGTCTTTTCCTGAGGAAGGAACTCAGATAAAACAAATTAAGTTTTTCAAGCTTTAAGACTAGAAAAAAGGCTGAGCGCGGTGGCTCACACCTGTAATCCCAGCACTTTGGGAGGCCAAGGCGGGCGGATCACGAGGTCGGGAGATTGAGACTGTTAGGCCTCTGAGCCCAAGCCAAGCCATCACATCCCCCTGTGACTTGCACTTATACGCCCAGATGGCCTGAAGTAACTGAAGAATCACAAAAGAAGTGCAAATGTCCTGCCCCGCCTTAACCAATGACATTCCACCACAAAAGAAATGAAAATGGCCGGTCCTTGCCTTAAGCGATGATATTATCTTGTGAAATTCCTTTTCCTGGCTCATCCTGGCTCTAAAAGCTCCCCCACTGAGCACCTTGTGACCCCCCACTCCTGCCCGCCAGAGAACAACCCCCCTTTGACTGTAATTTTCCTTTACCTACCCAAATCCTATAAAACGGCCCCACCCTTATCTCCCTTCGCTGACTCTCTTTTCGGACTCAGCCTGCCTGCACCCGGGTGATTAAAAAGCTTTATTGCTCACACAAAGCCTGTTTGGTGGTCTCTTCACAAGAGCGCGCATGACACACGCCACAATGTCTGGCTATTTTTTTTTTTTTTTGTATTTTTAGTAGAGATGGGGTTTTACCATGTTGGCCAGGCTGGTCTCGAACTCCTGACCTCAGTGATCTGCCCACTTCGGCCTCCCAAAGTACTGGGATTACAGGTGTGAGCCACCACGCCAGCCCATTTGTTTGCTTTTTGAGACAGGGTCTCACTCTGTTGCCCAGGCTGGAATGCAGTGGTGCTGAGGTGGGAGGTGGGACTTTACTCTGGACCAGATTGAAGATTGGCTGAAACAGGGAAGAGGTAGGGAAAA